GACCACAAGGATCCAGCTCCTGTCCCTGCACAGACACCCCAGCGCTCCCACCCTGGCAGCGCTGTCCAAGGCTCCTGGAGCTCTGGCCGTGCCCGTTCCCTGGGCAGCCTGGGCAGTGCCAGCACCCTGTGGGGAAGGAGCTTTCCCTGATCTCCATGCTGCCCCTCCCTGGCCCAGCTCAGGCCGCTCCCTGCCCGGCACAGCCCGACTCACTTCCCAGAGGCGCTGTTGGCGATCTCGTCCGCCAGCTCGTCGCGCTCCTGCTCCGCGTGCCGCCGGGCGCGCTCCGACGCCGCGAACTCCTGCCAGGGTGGGAGACGGTCAGGGCAGCCCCAGGAGCCCCACAGCCCCTGCAGACACAGCTCCAGCAGCTGGCAGGTGCTGTGAACTGGGATGTGCCAGGGGTTTCGTGGATAAGGCAGCAGGACACATCAGCTGGATGTTCCCTCACTGCCCTGGGACTGCAGCGGAGTCACTTCTCCCTGTCCCTGAAGCCTTCCTCACCCAAAGCAAAGGGGAAAAATCTGTGAAGATCAGTAACCCCCAAGCCCTCAGCAGCAGGAGAAACCACTGTGCCCCATGCTCTGACTGACAGAGTCAGTGTGAAGTAGGTGCTAAATCAAGCAAATGTTTTAGGTTCTCACAGAGTTCTCAGCAGGAAGACAAGAAGAGAATAAAAATTAAAAAGCTTCAGGACAAGAGCACACACAGCACACACTGAACCTCAGATTATACATCTGCATTAAGTGGCAGAAACACTCAAGCATTTCCTAAGGAAAATGAAATGCTCTATGAGGTCTGAAGACCTTGCTTTTTACTTTTTTAACCCTCTCATCTTTGCTTTACTCTAAACAATAAAAACAAATCTCTTGGATTTCCATCTCACCTCTTGGAGCTGGAGTATTTCTGCTTCGAGACTTTTGAGCTTCTTCTCACTCTCTTTGGACTGGGCAAAGATCTCATCCCTGGATGCTCGGGCCTCTTCCAGCTCCCGCTGGTAGTCCTTCATCTGAGCCTGCAGGTGGAGAGCAGGTGAGGAGCAGCCAGGCTGCATCAGGACCATCACAAGACCCATTCCAGCCCCTTTGTTCTCCCAGAGTGGCTTCATTCCACTTAAAGGCATTCCCAGTTCTTCTGTATTGTAAAATTTCATTTCCTCATCTTTCCACCCCTCAATGCCTGGTCAGAAATATCACAGTCCGAGACTTCAAGCATTCCACAGAACTACAGAGTGGAATCTTAGAATGACCTGAGCTGGAAGGGCCCTTAATTATCATCAGTGCCACCCCTGCCATGGGCAGGGCCTTCCACTATCCCAGGTTGCTCCAAGTCCTGTCCAACGTGGCCTTGGGCATTGCCAGCCATGTGGAAAGTGGTTTTGTGGGAGAGGAGTTTGGAACAAGATTAGCTTCAGGGTCCCTTCCAACCCAAACTGTTCTGTGACTCTATAAAGTGATGAGTTTTGCCTAGAGAATAAATCCAGGCTGGATAAATGTCAGACCCATCAGTGGAGCCTGCCTCTGGATGGAAGCAGCCCCTGGGCAGCTCCCAGGACAGAACCCAGCTCCCAGCTCAGCTGTGCCTACCTGCAGCTTCCTGAGCTGTTTGATGGCTTCGTCCCGAGCCTTGTTGGCAGCCTCTATCTGCCCCTCCAGGTCCTTCAGGTCCATCTCCAGCTTCTTCTTGGCCGCCACGGCCAGCGCGCGCTGCTTGCGCTCGTCCTCCAGCTCGGCCTCCAGCTCGCGCACCTGGGCCAGGCAGGGCATCAGGGCCAGGCCCGGCAGGGCCAGCCTGGCACCCCAGGGCCTGCCCGGGCCACGGGCACTCCCCGTGGCATGGCAGCTCAGGGGGAGGCGCGGGGCAGGGCCGCAGCCCCGCGGAAGCAGAGGTCTCTGCACTGAGCAGCAGGGGAGCCCCAGGACAGACCCAGCTCCTGCAGCATTTCCATTTCAGCCTCCTGCCCACCCCTCCATCCACCACAGGGGATGGCTCCAGGGCAGATGGAGCTAACTCTGGTGGAAAATAAGCAGCAGAATCACGTCATCGTCTCAAGACAGCAATGAAACCATTCCCTTTGAACAGCCTGTTACTGGCACTTATGTACCAACAACTTCTCTTTCCAAAATAAAACAAGAGTGTGTGAACAGTCAGGCAACATGGACTGAGCCAAACCTATGCAAAAACAAACTGAGCCAGAAATGCCACAGGTTACCAAGATGAAAGAAAATTTTGTTTTGGAAGCAAATCTCCCTCCCAGTGCAAGGTCAGGAGCTCTTGTCCAGTTCAGATAACAGCAACTTTGTTCTGCAGTGACCTTTCAAACCCTGCAGGCCAGGTTTATTCCTAAGATATCTCTACACTGGTGAGTCTGTTTTGTTTTCTTGGGATAAATCTTGAAATATTGCCTGGTTTGTTCCTGAGCAATTTAGAACCAAGCATGATCCTCTTAAGGCATTTCTTGAGGCTCTTCTGATTTCTGTGTTCCCAGAATTCTCAGCCGGGCAAATTGGGAAGCTCTGCCATGATTTGCATTTAGGAAACTGTTCACTTAATTTAAAAGTCTATCTCAGCATCCATGGATTTGTTCTGGACATCAAATAGGGTGGGCTTGAAAATGCAACTGAGATATGCTTGTCCTGGGAATACACCCAGGCAGCAACAGCCAAAGCTCGTGGAGTGGCTTTGGAGGCCACCAGCACCACCTGACACTGCCTGGGCACAGTGGCCAGAACTACTGTGTGCTTTGTAAAAATGCTGTGGTTTGGGGTTTCCATTGGATGGAATCTTTAAGCAAAGGGGTTCATCTTTCTGGTAGCACAGAGGCCCAGAATTCTGGCCAAAGCCCTTCCTCCCCTCCTGACTACACCTCAAAGTAAAACACACGTACTTGTTTCACCAGCATCCTCTTCTTCTCCTCGTTCTGTTCATCTCTGGCCTGCAGATCTCTGTCAAACTGGGCTTTCATGGCCTGCATGTTCACCTCCAGACGCAGCTTGGCATCTTCTGTGGCCTGCAGTTCATCTTCCAGCTCCTCCAGCTGAGTCCTCATCTCCTCCACCTGCTGCTCCAGGGTTCTCTTGGACTTCTCCAGCTCGTGGACCTGCGGCATGAGCTCTGCTCAGAGCCTGTCCCTGAGCAGCAGTTCTGAGACCTGAGCAGTTCCAGGGCAGGCCAGGGGCTGCAGCTGCCCACTCTGGGCTGGCAGGGAGCCACAGCGGGCACGGCAGCAGCTGGGGCTGAGGCAGAGGCCAGGGCAGACCCACTCCCCTACCCAGGCTGGCAGAAGGGGAAATCTGGTTCTTGGGTAAAGATGAGGGGCTGGGACACGGTGACACAGCCAAGACCATCAGGGAAGGACAGGGGTCTTTGCTGCTGCCTCAGCTGGGTGCAGGAGGGAGCACACTGAAGGGCCACAGTTCTGCTCTGCCTCTGGTTCAACCATGTCCTGCAGCTCAGCTTGATCAAAGGTAACAGAAATCCTCATTATTCCTCATTTACACACAATAAATATACCCAGCAACACAGAAATGGGGAAGTGGCTGCCCTCATCTGTCACAGCTGCAACACACCACCAGTTCTATCTGACTGCAGTCCCACCTCCACTGACCCAAAAGTATAAAACTGGGATCTGGGATCTCCACAAGGGTGTGAATACAGCTTTTGAAGATGTTAACAATTATTCTGAGCATTAATCCCTCCAGTATTTTGGGTGAGCTTCAGAAAGCTCTGTTCTGGTGCACAGACCCTTCCCCAGCCCGGGAGAAGGGAATAACCCTGTCATTCCCAGTCTGTAGCAAACAGCCTCTGGAACCATACTCACATTTTTGCCCACATCATCTTTGGAGCTCATCAAGTCTTCCATATCTGCACGCAGCTGCTTGTTCTGCCTCTCAAATTCCTCCTTGGCTTCCAGGGCCTCCTCCAGGGCCCGGGCCAGGGACAGGGCTTTGGTTTCCTTCTCCCTCGCCTCTGCCTCAGCACGGTCTCTCTCCTCTGCATACCTGGCAGAAATGTTCTTTTCTTCTGCCAGCATCTGGACATAAGAAACAATTAATCCATCTCCCAAGCTCCACACTCAGGTCCTTTCTGCCTCAGGTGTTTTATTCAGGAAGTGGCTCATGCTCTGAGTTTAACTGGCCTCCAGGAGCTGCCTGGTCCCTCAGTTGTGATCAAAGAGCCAGGAGAGAACAGCTACGGCTGCTCGGGGATGAGAGGGGGAAAGCAGGCTGCAAGCTACTCAGCAAGCTCAAGTTTCAGAGGATTCCCATCTTTCACTCTTCAGATCCTTTTTTTTAGTCTACCTTGAGGGACTACAATAAAACTCTAAAGTTTTTGTTCCAGTGTAATTCTCTTCTTCCACATGAAGAGCTTGATCTAACAATCCTCAGAGAACTGGGAGTGACAAGTTGCTCCTGACAAAGGCCAGCTGCTCACAGATTTATCAATGACCCAGCACAACAGCCACATCCTGCCTTATCCAAGGCTCAGCAACAAGAACAAGATGCCATTTAAAAATCCTAAACACCCAGGAAGGTGACAGGAGGCTGGAGTACCTGATCAAACTTCTTCTGCTTTTTCTCCAGGTTGGAGACGATCTGGCGCTGGTGGTCCAGATCCACCATCAGGTCATCCAGCTCCTGCTGCAGGCGGTTCTTGGTCTTCTCCAGCTTGTCATAAGCCAGAGCCTTCTCCTCCAGGCGCTGGCTTAGGGACTCCACGTCCTTCAACAGCTTCTTCTTCATCTCCTCCAGGCCTTCGATGGTTCCCAGGTCATCGTCCACCTTCTTCTTGGCCTCAGCCAACTGAAATTCAACAAGAGCGAGGGAAGTCCCTCAGGGCATCACCAGAGGGAGGAAAGGCCCAGGGCAAGGGGCAGAAGGAACAGCTGTTCCTGCAGGCTAAGGGAGCACAAAGCTGGCAGTTCTCAGGCTCTCAGAGGGCAACGCACCCATCACAGTTCAGGGGACACAGCATTACTGCAATGGTAATGATTCCAAAATCTGCTCAGCACCCGTGCCAGTTCCACGATGGGTTCCCCAAAGCTCTGGGACACCCCTCTGGGACAGCTGCCACTCACAGCACCCTACCTGGGCCTGCAAGGCCAGCATCTGCTTCTCCAGGTTCTTCCTGGCCTCCTCCTCCTCCTCCTGCTGCTCCTGCAGGTTGTTCTTCTCCTCTTCCAGCTGCCTTATCCTGCTGCTGAGGTTGAGCTTCTGGCGTGTTTCCTCCTGGAGCAGCTCCTGGGACACAGGCACGGGCAGGGCTGAGTGTGCTCTGAAACTCCCACAGCTCCACATGGAGACTCCCAGGTTTATTTTCCCTCAGATTTTGGGACAAGGACATGCTTTATGAAGACATCCGTTATTTGGGTTTTCAAAAAGCCACTGACCATTCATGTGGGGCAAACTTAAACCTTCATAAAGCAGATTTCTGGTCAGGGAACCCATGCCAGAGTCTGCTCTAGAAATTAAGGGATGATACTTTCCCATCTTTCAAGGGACAGAAGTCACTTCAAAATGTATTTTTTCTTTTTTCAGACAAGCACAGTGCACCTATTAAAACCACCTGGGAAGAACATGGAGCAGCAAATCCTGCAATGGCAGCATGCTTCCAGGTTTTCTGCATTCTTTAAATACAAAGGTCACTTTAAAGGTGGAAACTTCTGTCATAACAAAGTAATGGAAGGTGTAACCCCCAGCCTGCTCCCTACAAACCCCTCCAGTTGTGGTTAACATTATTGAGAGTTAAGTGGTCACCATTAGAACTTTAATAAAGATAAAATATATTGAAGTGATGAATATCTGCAGAAAGCTGAAATTTTTTAATTAAGAACCAAAACCTGACAGTTTGAACTTCAGCTGTAAGAATTTGAAGCTGTCAGTAGAAGACTGTTGTTTCTCATATATCCCAAGGATATTGACATTAAACTCTGCCTGGAAAGGGGTTTTTTATTTGATTCTTATCTCCCTCAGAGACAAAGACATAAAACAGAACTACCAGCTACCAGGTAGTGAAGCTCAGATAATGAAAACTTTGTTCCCCATGTAGCTGAGCCACCCCAATTCATCCCATTTCACTGGGCTGAACAGGAAATTCAGCTTCTACCCAGGGGACTTCCCAAAGCATGAATGAGAATGTGTTTTCTGTTAGCAGTCAGCATTTCCCCGAGGAGCAGAGCTCCAGTGCCAAGCTCAGCTTTACACACCTGTGTGTCCTGGAGCTGGGATTCCAAGCTGGCTGCATCCTTGGCAAACTTGATGCCTTTCTTCTCTGCCTCCTCCAGCAGAGTGGAGACGTTGTCCAGCTCATTCTGCAAAGCAAGCAGCCCACAGGTGAGAGCACAGCCCAAACCCCACTGGGCTGGAGCTGCACAGCACAGAACCTCAGCAAATTCCAGGTACTGAGCCCAACAGACAGAGACAGCAAGCTAAAACCACTCAAGTTTGCCTACAAAATGCAAGCTGAGTGTCAGTCCTGAAGTGCAGTAACAAAACCAGAGCTAGGCTATTGAGCTCTGATATTTAGCACTTTGCTCTGATCCCTGCACTCACACTTTAATGCTGTTTTTAATTCTAGAACCATACATTTCATGCAAGCATTAATTCAGGGATCAGCATTGTGGCAGCTGGGTCCAAAGCATCACTGCAAGAGAAAAAGTCACTGCCAGGTGCCAGCTTATTATTTTGGGCTGCAGTACTCCTGAAAGTTTCCCCACAGAGAGCTGGGCCATTCCTTTTGGAAGTGCTTTAGCTGATTTACCCTGCTGTGGTTCAGAAGTCAGCCATGGCTGTATTTTTCCTGTTTGCCCCATTTCCCAGCAGCATGGGCCTGTGCTTGCAACCCCTCCCTGCCAGGCTCCCAGCTTGGAGCACCAAAGCAACCCTGTGGCCACCATCAATTTTTGCTCATCCCTATGGGAAAGCTGAGCCCAACCCACTCAATTCCACAGCCAAGCCAATCCTGCCAGCTGGCTGAGCAGAGCTCCCTGCAGATCTGCTCTCCAGGATGGAAGGCACATCCCTCAAAGCCACTGAACTCTCACACAGCCCAGGACGCTCAGGATTGGTGTCACAGCACCACTTGGAGGCCCCCCAGCTCCATGAGAGCCCTTGCTGGGCTCACCTCCCACATCAGCCACAGGCCATTTCTGCACATGGTTACAGCTTTGAGTTCCTTGCCCGTTTTCCAGGATTTTAGGACTTCCAGAGCCTTACCTGCAGCTTGTTTGCCTTCTCAGCCAGCTCCACCCTCAGCCTCTCCCCTTCTGACACCTTTGCAGTCAGCTCCTGCACCTGAGCATCGAGTTTCTTCCTCTTGTGCTCAGACTCTGCCTTGACCTGCTGCAGCACCTTCACCTCACAGGCCAGCTCCTTGTTGTCTGACTCCAAGCCCTGCTTGTTCTTCTCCAGGTTGGCTTTGAACTAGGGAGGAGGAAAGGAAAGAACTCTTAGTTGCAGGTGGAGGCTTCCTGCAGGTTCCATGCTCAGAGGGAAGGCAGGGGCTCAGCAGGATGAGCAGCAGGGTTTGGAATGCTGCTGTGGCACATTCTGTGTGTGCCAGGGGAGCACTGAGGGAACCTGGGCTTCTCCCCCAGGCAGGATCTGGGATGGCAGCCCTGGAAATGCCCGCTTTGGTGGCACTGCAAGGAGGAAGGAATGTGCCCATTAAGGGATCAGCATGGCTCATCTCACAGAAATAAAAGGGAAGACAGGAACCAAAGCTGCCCTGATTTGAGTAGGCAGAGCAGCCTGCAAGTGCAGAACAAAGCAATTCTCAGCACTGACATTCGTCAGAAGCCTTTCAAAAAGTAATCACTGGCATCAGGGATGTTTAAGTGTCATTTCTGCTTTCTCACCAGAGCTGACAGCATCTTGTCACAGGAGCTTTGTTTCAGATTGCAGGGTATTTTTCCATCTTTTCATGCTCTTATTGAGAATATTTATTGAATAAGGAGCAGAAGACATGCAGAGATTTTCAGGTGAATAAAGCTGGTGAAAATCACAGTTTAACTACTACATCTCTCACTTAATTTAGAATACTAAGGAAGCTTGTGCAGTATTCACAACACATAAAAACATCACCACAGGAGAGGTGAATTCACACACATTTGTGAATGACCCCAGCTGTAATTTCAAAAACTAGACACTTATTTTTTTGGAATAATTCTCCTGAATAAGACCAGGAGCCATGTGATCCACCCGTGCCTCCTGCTGCTGGTGAGCAGAGGACACAGCACAGATGTGCTGCTGAAAAGCTGCAGCACTGTCAAACCAACGTGACCAATCTCAACAATTGGGATGGAATTTTAGAGGACAGCTTTGCTCTGTGATCATGGAAAGCCTCAGCTCAGGTCTCCTGGAAGGAACCACGCTGCCTGTGGTACTTAGAAAAAGCCCTGAAGCAGAAAGTTGATTTTCTGCTCACCCTTTTGGCCTGTTCAAGCTGTTCAGAGAGCTCCTCCAGGGCAGTAGCATGCCTCTGCCTGATCTCCTGGATCTGGGCTTCATGGTTTTTGGTTTCCTCCTCAATTGCTTTCTTCAGTTCAGCCACCTCCTGCTCTCGCTTTGTCCTGGAGGAAGCACAGAGGATCACCAAAAAATCCACACTCCAGTTTTTCATAAATCACAGATGAATTCCAGAGGTGCTTTCTCACACAGACCATGATCCTACCTCAGCTCTTGTTGTGCTGCAGTGGTATCCAAAGTATCTTCCAGTTCTGTTTTCAAAGCCTCCAGCTCTTCACTCAGATCCCTTTTCTGCTTTTCTGCCTTGTTCCTTGATGCCTTCTCAGACTCCAGATCCTCCTGGAGCTCTGCAATCTGAGCCTGCAGCTCCCTGATCACCTTCAGAGCATTGTTCTTCTGAACTGCTTCCTCATCCCCCCTGTCAAACAGGCACACAGTTACTGGGACTGCCCCTCCTCTCAAACCCTCTGCTTAAATTAGCTGCAAACACACCTTAACTCCTCCAGAGAATAAATAGAAACATTTATAGAATGCTTGGGTTGGAAGGGACCTTCAACATCACCAGATTCCCACCCCTGCCATGGCAGGGACACCTTCCACTATCCCAGGCTGCTCCCAGCCCTGTCCAACCTGGACACCTCCAGGGATGCATGAAAGACACCACAGATAAAACCAAGGTGCACTATCAGAATTATCAAGCTTTAGTTTACAGTCAAGTGTTCCAATTTTGCAGATCTCAACACTGCCCCAGAAATGTTCCATCTGTAGAATTTTCTCTTCCTGCAAAATTACACTTAAAAAATGCAGGTGGTGTTCAGCATAACATGGGACTGCAGGGGTATCACACAAACCCAGACAAAGTCTGTCCTGCCCAGCACTTTGTTAAGACCCACTGAGAAAAATACATTTTTCCCTCCTGAGGCTGAATTCTGGGAGACTAAAAAAGCCTCCAGAGCCCAGACACTGTTATACCATGTGAAACTTCTTCTTTTTGCAGGTCTGTGGAGCCAGGATGCCAAGGGATGCCTGAATTCCTGTAAAGGATCTCTGAATTCCTGCAAATTTGCCTTGTCTGTGCACAGCACAGGGCTCCAGAGCTGGCTGCTGCTGCAGCATCCCAGCTCTGACTGCAGCCAGAATTCAAAACTGGAATTCAAAACTGGAATTCAGCCTGGGGGAGCAGCTTTGTGCCACACTGACCTGGCCACAGCTCCCTGCAGCTCCTCCTCCTTCTTGGCCAGCTGGATCTTCAGCTCCTCAATCTGGGCTTGCAGCTCAGCTATTTGGTCCTGCAGATCTGTTGTTTCCCCATCCAGTTTTCTTTTAGCTTTTTCTAACTCTTGACGGGTCTTCTCCTCCTTTTTCAGGCGTTCTAAAGGAAGCAAAGAATTAAATTCCTATGGAATTGTTCCTCTTGTCACCCTCAGAGGCTCTGGGGTGGCAGGAAGGGTGGGAAGTTTAATTTATGTTGCCCCAATTCTTTCTCCAGCCTGCAGAAACATGAAATAGCAAAGGAGAACTGCATGACTTAGCCAGAAAGTCAGAGGAAAAGTCTCTGACAACTGTGAATAGTTTGAAATGAGGCAACAGAAACATCCTGGTAAAAATAAGGAGTGGGATCTGACAGAGCAGCTCGAACACCCAAAAAAGAAGATAAAAAAGAAGATAAGCCATGGACTGGAACAATTGCATGGCTTTGGAAGGGCTAGGCCAGACTCCAAAAGTCTACTGGAAAATAACATAGCTTAAAGTAAGCCTGAACAAACCATTTTCCAAGGATCTGTGCTGTTTAAGCACATCCCAGCAGTATTGAGCACCGAGCTGCCTGGGCACAGCAAGGCAGAGCCCCTGCCCAGCTCCAAGGGCACTGGCACACATCTGCAATTCCAAGGGACTGCAGGAGTGCCCTTGGTCAATCCTCTGTGGCTCCTCAGAGCAGAGATCTCCCTCACACCCTTCCCAAAACTCCTTCTGGACTAGATGGAAAGGGAGCCATGGTCAGGAACCAGCTCAGTCACCCTGGGCTAGCTGGGATATTCCTCCACTGCTTTTCTCCAAGAAGTTTCACATTCCAGAAGAATTGTGCTTTTCCCTGTTTTTACGTGAAGCTCCTGGTGAGTGACAGTTACAGCAGTGACACAAGACCCAATTTTGTAATTGAGAGAGTTCACAGCAAACTGAATTAATTTTTTTCCCCAAATATCAGTGCCTAGCAGTGCCAAGACTCTAGCAGAGAGACCTTAATGGCTTCTTGATTCATCTCCAAAAGTAAATATCATTTTACTTTGCTTTCCTAGCCAAGAAATTGCATGCCTTAAATATAAGCTTTAATTTCCACCTCTAAGATCATCAGTCTTGGAATGGCTCTGTAACCAAACACATCTGTCAAGTTCCTAGTCCTGATTTAAGCACAGAGCTACTCCAGCATTATTTTCCAGTGAGTAAAGCTTACTCAGACCCATCTTAAAGTCTCTGAATGCAACTGCTAAAGACAAGGTTCATCAATCACTGCTACCCCTGTTAGCTCAATACCTGCCTACACAGCTAAGGTAAAACTCTGATATCCTTCCAGAAGCACATCAGCCTTAAAATATGCACCAAGGCAGGCCCCAACACACCAAGTGCAAAACCATTCCCAAATCAGGGCACAGAGAAACAACTTTCTCTATTATTTTGCAACTTTGATTTGGCAGCTCATTAATGTTGCACAGTATCTATAGTAATTAAAAAAGAAAACAACACAAAATAAGGAAGGGTTGCATATGGGGCAGGTTTAACTTGTGACAACACTGGCAAAACAATCAGAAATAAATGGCTAAAGGAATGGAAACGTTTTAGATGGAATCATGGAATGGTTTGGGTTGGAAGAGGCCTTGAAGCTCAGCTCCTTCCAACCCCTGCCTTGGGCAGGACACCTTCCACCAGAGCAGGTTGCTCAGTAAAAAAAAAAACACTACAAAATAAAATACATCTATAAATATAATGAAGGTAAATATTAAGAAAATTTAAAAAAATATATACGTTTATTGAAAACCAGTTCTGGAAGCCTAAAGAGTGCCTGCTGCCATTCCTGCAGGAATACATTGCTCTGGTGTCAGACAAGTGGGAGAAGCTTCCCAGGAGCCAGGATGTTTTCCCTTGGCGCTAAGGGATGCAGGCAAGAGCAGGAATTGCTGAATGTGTCTGTGAAGGACATGGATTCTGAAAAATGAAAAGCTGACAAGTTCAGCAGGAGCCAGACTGAGCAGGCAGATGCAGCAGGCCTTGCAGGAGACACAACTTCCTGCAGGAGACAAAAATTTCATGCAGGAGACACGGAGTGATTTCCTGCAGGAGACAGGGATTGATTTCCTGCAGGAGACAGGGATTGATTTCCTGCAGGAGACACAGATTGATTTCCTGCAGGAGACACGGGTGGATTTCCTGCAGGAGCTGCCTGCAGCAGCAGCTCTGGGTCTGCCCAGCCCAGGTCCCTCTGAGCAGACCCTGCAGCCCTGCCCCAGGTGATCCATCCCCCCTGGAGCTGCTCCCAGGCCATTCCAGGCACAACAAACCTTCCAAATCAGTGATCATCATTTCCTGCTTGTTCTTCAGTTTGGCCAAGTTTTTGGCTTTTTCTTCTTCTTCAGCCAGCTGAGAAGAGCACTCAGCAATCCGATCCTCCATCAGCTTCTTCTCCTGGGGGGAGAAAAAACAACTTCAGCACAACTTCAAATAAAGGAATGTACAAAACCCACAGAGGGCTGTCAGAGAGCACAAGACCCTGTTACAGGTTTTGTTTCTAACACAGATTTCATTTCAAGTGATTGTCAATACCAAGGATCAGCTGGAACTGTTTGGAACCATGAACATTTATTTTCCAAGAGAGACCTGGAATTCAGCACACAGCAGGCCTGGCTTTAGGGCAGCATTGGAAATCTGTTTGCAGAGAACAAGGGCAGCTAGAAACCATTTTTCCAGCTCTAAGATTTTGGAGAGTCATGAAACTGGGAAGAGTCCATGACAAACTCCCTCTGGAATGTCATCCCAAACTCATCTCCAGTGCCCCAGCCCAAAGTGTCCAAGTGTCCCAGATCCTGTGACAGAGCTTTGGGAGCTGTCCCTTGGCACCCCTACACTGCTCCCACCTTCAGAAATTTGGAATTTTGGTCCTCCAACAGCAGGATCTCCTCCTCCATCTTCTTGATCTTTGCTTCAGCTGTCACTTTTTCAAGCTGCAGCTTCTGCCGAGCTCCCTCCTCCTCATCAAGCTGTTCCTCCAGGTCCTGGGGAGAGAGACAACTGCATCTGTGCATTTTCCAGGTTGGTAACATTTAGGCTTTTTTAACTTAGTGACAAAGATGTGTTATTTTGAAAAGCCTCTTGCCCTAACACACTCTAACCCCACGTTTGCTTTGTTAGATTCATTGGCAGATCCATGATCTGGGAAGGAATTAAGGGCCATGGGATACAGGTGGGATTTTTAAAACTCTGATTTGCAGCTTTGGCTGAAATGTGCTCTCTAGGAAACACACACTCACTGCCACAGTCTTCACCCTCCTAATTCCAGCTACAAGATAAAAAATCTGCAATTAATGACAACCAGTCAGATCAGGCTTTATGTCAGAGGCTTCCCAGCACACTGCACCTGAATGGGGCACGGGGTGGAGAAAAGGCAGGACCTGGGAAGGGATTCCAGAGGAGACAGTTCTCCTCTTCTCAATATCACAGCTTATGATAATATCTGAGCCAGTTGTGTTATTGGCACACAATTAAAAAGCAATAATGCCCTGTGCTTCTGAGGGTTTAAACATGATTCATTTAAATATGATGAATAGACATTTTTAAACTGCATCAAAAGCTGTGAAAAGTGAAGTTTATTTCCTCTTCAACTACTTTTAATATTTTTAAAGACAGGTAAGTTCTCAGCTACTCCCTTTTTCAGTGCCACCATTATTTAAAAGGAAGCATCTAAATAATCTGATTGTCAAAAAAACCTCAATCAAATAACTTGGAGGAAATGACATTGTCTTAGTGAAGTCAAGTGAGTAAAATCCTTCATGATGCTCCCTGGATTTCAGTGCAAAAGGAACATTTCTCCCACAGGTGACACCATGCCACCAGTCTGTCCCCAGGCCCTGTGCAGCCCTGCCTGGCTCTGCCCTCTCAGAGCCCTTTGCTGCCTTTAATGACCCCTCAGCACACACTGACAGGGCACCCTGGCTTTCCCTTCTTCCTCACCTGCCTGGCACCACACAGAGCTCATCACACTCAACACAGGGAGAGGAGAGGAAAAAAAATCATCTTCTTCCACTCAGGAGCCAAATTCCTCTGTTCTGTAGATGCTGAGGGAGCTTCCCCATCCTACTTCTCCAGTCACTGAGATCCATACCTGGATATGGCCCTGCATTTTCTTCTTCTCATTCTGCAATATTTGGTTTCTTTCCTCCTCCTCCTCAACCCTGGACTCCAAATCATGGAGAATTTCTTCCAACTCTTGCTTTTTGGCAGCCAAGCGAGCCCTCATCTCCTCAGCCTCTGCAAAGAGCTCTGTCTCAGCCTGGAGCTGCTCTGCAAGGATGTTCTTCTCCTCCAGAACCTGCAAAAGGCAGTAAAAGCTTTAAAAATGACACTTCAGAGACTCTGGTGAGAGATTACACCTGTGACAGCCACAAAAGGGACTTCAACACAAGCCCCTCAAGGAACATTTGAAGGAGCTGGGGCTGTTCATTCTGGAGTAGAGGAGGCTCAGAGGTGCCCTCATTGCTCTCCACAGCTCCTGAAGGGAGGTTCAGACAGGTGGGGTCAGACAGAACTGACAGAACAAGAGGACACAAGCCTCAGCTATGTCAGGGAAGGTACAGGTTGGATATTAGGAAAAAATTTTTCACCAAAAGAATAATAAAATACTGGAATTGTCTTCCTAAGGAGGTGGTAGAATCACCATCTCTGGATGTGTTTAAAAAAAGACTGGACATGGCACGTGGTGCTATGGTCTGGTTGAGGTATTAGGGCATGGGTTGGACTTGATGATCTTGGAGGTTTCTTCCACCCTCATTATTCTGTGATTCTGTGATTAAAGGCCATGTTCTGCTCCAGTTCCTGCCTCCCATGCCCACATCCCAGACCAAGGGCTTCCAGAAGAGGCTTTAGCAGCAGTGCAGAGGACAGCAGCTCTGGCTGCAGCAGCATTTCCTGCACTGCTCCCTGCAGTGGCACAGCGCTGCCATGGGCTGATCCTGCCACTCTGCCCAGTCCCAGTGCCCATCCCTGAGGATGCCACTTGTCACTGGACGTGGAGGCACTGACTGCCACCCCAGGAGTGCCCACCCACTGAGGGTCCATCCATGAGCTGCACGTCTCTCCAGGATGCCCACGGGACACAGCCAAAGGCAAAGTGCAGGGAGGTGACACTGAAACTGCTCTTCCTTTAGTCACCACATTTCTGCCATCACAGAAAGCCACCAGACCTGCAGAGCTGTCCCAGGTGTTTGCCCACAGCTTGCCCAGCCCAGGCACAGGATGACACTGCCTCTGAGTTTCTCCTGTCAGCCAGGAGAGGCCACACAAGCAGGTTTTGTTTGTTAACATGTTCCTGCCTCCCTGGAGGAGCAGCTCTTGCTGTATCTTCCTGTTCCACATTCCAGCAGAGTGGGAATCAGCTCAGCTGATCCTCTTTTGCTCCCTCAGATGGGACAGAGCACAATCCATGTCCTGCATACCAAAAGCTGATCTTGGACACAAACCTGCTGATGTTTCCTTTCCATTTCCTCAAGTTCTGCCTCCACTTTTGTCTGTTTTTCTTTCACCTTCATCAGCTCCTCATCCTTGGCTTGAAGCTCTTCTTCCTGACGAGTGACCTGAAGAAGAGGCTTCACCTGCAAAGGTTTGAAATGAAAATGTGAGACCCTGCCCTCACCTACTTATAGGTGAATGAAACAGGAAAGAACAGAACAGAAGGGACCTTGGTGAAGACTCTCCACCACTGCCAGTGCCTCAGCTTCAAATACGCAGCACAATTCCTCTGCAGGATTTTCAGTGCACTCAGCTGCTGCTGCTTCTTTGCAAAGGCCCTGAAGACAGGAAAAAGTTAAATGAATAAATGTGTTAAATACAGCTGAGCATCATTTAATTTTTAGGTTACCCAACCCTACGACACTTACAGACCATAAACAGGCTTATTGCTAAGTTTCAGTAACTACACTGAATTTATGAGTTCTTGCTCCTATGGAGTCAGAGCAAAAGCTGCATTCACCAATTCCAATAATTAAAAATGCTGTTTGCTCTTGCTCTCAACAGGCTTTTTTCTTAAAAAGACAAAATCAGGATGGATTAGCTACTTTATTTTTTAAAAAGCTGCTTTCCAAAGAATTTCCAGGAACCTCCAGTGGGACAGGAGGAGAGACAAAGGAATTTGCAGCCACTGAAAAGGGCTGTGTGTGCCACAAAGGCAAGAGAGGGAAAGGAGATATTTTTAAGGCATGAAGGTGCAAATTCTGCCCAGGCAAAAATCCATTTAATACCCAGGATACAATTACAGCTCCTCAGGCAACAGCCTCAGAAAATCTCTCCTGAAATTCAAGTTTTAAAGCACAGCTCCCTCTCAGAGGGTCAAAGGAAGCTCCAGTCCCAGGAGCACACTCACTTCCTGGCCAGGTATCCCCTGCACACTGCTTGGAAGAAGATGATGATGTCTGTGATCTTCAGATCCCGCTCCTCCTCCAGGTGTGCCAGGACTCCAGCTCGGAAGAAGATCTTGCTCTGTCCGATTCTGTACAAGTTGGGGTCCAGCTCCAAGGCTCTGATCTAAACAGACAGGCAAGGGCGTTGTAGTTACACCAAGAAAAGGACAATTCAGGGAAATTTTTCCATGATTTGACAATATTTAGCTATGAACACTTACCATACGCTCACAGGCTTGCTTACCATCCATGAAACCTTTGGGAATTGCGTTGGGAGTGAGGATCTCATACCTCAAAGGCAAATGAAAAAACACCTTTACATTCAGCAGTCAGCAATGTGATTTATAGGATAAACTTAAAGCACAAACTACAGTGACCAAGTCACAACTGGGAATTTCTCCAGGAAGCTTTTCCAGCAGCCAATTTTGGATTGTTTCCCCTTGCCTACTGCCTTCAGAATAAACTGCAGTAGTCAAACTCATAAAGTTCAAGGCCTCACAATCAGGTTTTGATTTTCTTTGAGCTGGGCTGGGAGAGGAGGGAGGAGTGTGGGCTCTTCAATGATTTAACAAGGAACTTTAGCTCCTAAGAACTCAAAAGGCTGCTGCTGCTGTTACCTCTGCCTGAATTCCTGGAACACGATCCTGTTTGGGAATCCCTGCCGACAAATCCTGATTCCTTCCAAAACCCCGTTGCACCGCAGCTGGTCTAGAACCAGGTGTGGGTCCAGTTTTCCAGCCTGGACGAAACAAAACAAAACAAGGATGGTTTTAACTGGTATTAGTGGCAAACTGCACGTTCAGTTTCTCAGGCCAGAAGGCAGCAGGGTGAGTCAGGGGCATGCAGGGAATTCCGAGGGGACACCGCTCCGTGTGACAGCCGTGCCAGTGGGACGAGGCTGGAGGAGGAAGGCCCGGCCAGGCTGCAGGACCGCGTGAGCAGCAGTGGCTGCAGCCCCTACCCTCTTCTCGTGGTTGGGGATGATGCAGCGCACAAAGTTGGGGTTGGTGTTGCGGAGCGTGGCCATCAGCTTGGTGAGGGACTCCTTGTAGAGCTGGCCCACGGTGCGGAACATGCCCTTCTTGGTCTTGTAGGCAGAGCCGAAGGCGGTCTCGGTGATGCCGGTCACCTGGTCCAGCCCCACGATGCGATCCACTGCGGGGACAAGAGGGAAGGGCTGAGTGCCCTGGGCTGGCAGCGTGGCCA